TCAAGAAGATGTCACATTGACATCACACTACAAGATGTAACATTGACATCATGGGTCATTCTGACAATGATCCAAATAGAGTATATCAACCGCTTTTATGAGACAAAACATCACATGAAAATATGAACTTTATCTATCCTCTAATTGGTCAGAACTTATATTTACCTACTCATATCAGCTGATCTGCAATTAGTAGATATAAGCAGTACATATTGATTATGCCATTGGAAAGCTGCATCAAACAATTCTATCATTATCACCACGAAAAGGATATTGACACCTTGTTGCAGCTACATTAGACAATTTAAATATTTACCATATTTACTCTCTTTCAGAACATATATCAGAATATCTTACTTTTCTTATTGTTTCGCCCTTAGAAGAGTCCTCTAAAAATGTATTGGCGCATGTCTGAGTGTGTTTGGGTCATATAAACTGGTACAATCTAAACTTTCTATATTTTTCCTATTTACATTACCATAAAATAAGATAAAATCTAAATAGAAATAAAAGATTTTGCTTTTTCAAAATTTTGTTTCACCTCACAACCTCTAAAGATTTGCTCCCTCCCCAAAAGGACATTAAACAAATATTTATATTTGAACGGCCTTGAACAAGAAAAGAAGTTATATTTTGAAGTAGGGTAATTTTATATGTGAAACAAGCGATGAGAAACTAAAAGGAAGCTGGACTCTGTACTTAAGATCTTTTGAAGAGAAATTCAAGATGGGAGCTTAATCCCAACATCCAAATGCTTTTACTGGTCAAAATGTAATATTGACCAGCTTTTATTGAGATATGTTAAAGCATTGAAGCACTCTGAACACTGTCGCAATTAAGTTCATTTCTCTTATCATAACACACCAGCTGAGTTTTATGATTCCATGGGACATTCACCTGAATAATTTTATTCAACATTTCCAGATTTTATGAGTTATCGATCAAATTCATTAGCGAATGTACAAATCACAAAATAAACAAGAGAAGACAAAAGATGAATGTGCCCTTTAACTTTCTAAAGCCCAGGGGTTGTATAATCATTTGATTGCTACTTTGCTTAATTGTTTACTTTTTCATAGCAATAAACTGTTCAAAGACCCCTATTGATTCACAGAAACAATAGATACATTTGATCTAATGACCCAAACACTGTTGGCTTGTGGTGCAAAGAGAAAGACTTGCGTCAACCGTCGGACATGAAGGATGGAACTGAACAAAAAAGGACAATGGAATGGAACAGTATATTTAGACTACAAATGCATCATAATTAGGGGTCAGAGGGTTAATTGAAACCGCAGTGCTCCAACTGTCATTGGCCTTGGCGGTTCATTCAGTTCAGAAAAATCATTTGGTTCTGTTTTTAACGAAACCTTGAATGTGGGAAAATTACCATTTGTAAATGCATGATCCCTGAAATAATTTTCAGTATTTAGTAAATACATTTGTGAAATATCAAGACATAGCCGATAACATGAGATTAAATACATGGCAATCATACAGGCTAGTTTTTAGATTCTTATGAGCATAGCAATAAGAACAGAATAACCGAACAAATAACCGAACTGAGAGATTTAAAAACCGAACTGCCTGGCAACTTTCAGTCAGGGGTGGGTGATTGTCCAAAAAATTCAGTTTCAGTCAGGGGAGTGCAATTGTGGCATAAACAAGCCAAGAAATAAAATTTATTTTTTTTGAAAATTGATGTAACTTCCTTAAAAATTGAGCTGGAAGCTTCAAATAAAAAGCATTTTAAAGCTCCTTTCTTCTTCTTTCTCATGACTTATTTTCATTGGTTATGGGGGTGGGATGCACCCATCGCACCCCCCTGGCTACACCTATGAGGCTACCAAACCAAAAATTTTAAAAGTGTCTGACCCCTGATTATAACGTTAACATTAATGGCATGGCATTAAGTACATGTATACAATATACATACAATAACTTGAATATATACCCAATACTTATGTTTAATTACCGCCAATGTTTATAACTTTCACAATTCTTTAGTTCGTTAATTTATGGAGTAAGGGGTATAATGATGATCAATTAAAAACAAAATTGATTTTTTCTGCAAGTGCTACATTTTCTTTCAGGCTTTTAGCTAACTTTTGCCAAGACGGTACACTCTCTAAAAAAAAACAAAGGGTTTAATTTTTGACAATTTTCGCCCAAAATCAAGCAAAAACTACTCAAATGGTAAAAAATGCATGAATTTGCCCTCACCCTTGAACCCCCCTCCCTGGCTAGGGGCCTGCACCTCCAAATTTTGATAACCAAGTCAAGTAATAGGAAACGGGACAGTGTTGGGCAAATCCCCATATCAGTCATGTGAATACAGATATGAAAAATACATGAGTTGAAAGTACATGAAAGAATTTATATTTTTCAGAAATGTTCTCATTCATGAGATTAACCATTATCGCTACTGTTATTTCCTGTTACATATGCTGTTACGTATAATATGTTGATGACAATAATGTTACTTGATGTCAATAATGTCACTCTGATGTCAATAATAGGGTTTGTTGTTCCTGTGAATAGCCGCTTTATAGATATGGTCACTTTAGCAACTAAGTCAGGATAATGTAATAAACACCTATAAAACATTGTAACACTATTTTGAACAGATTATTGGGCATGAACTGTGGTGTTAGAAGTTAGAGTCCCATTAACAAAGGTTGTGAGATCAATAAACACATAAACAAACCAATATCCTTTAATGTCATAGATAAATGTATTCAAGGGAATGAGAGATAACAGATCTGCCTACTAATTCCTTATATACAAGATGTCTACAAATGAAGTCAATGTAGATGTGATTTCATTCGCAAAATACAATAAAAAACGAGTGAAATTAGCGAGGAAAAAATAAATAGTCATGTAGTTCATACACTAAATTGTTTAGAAGTGCAAGAAAAATTGATACCTCATTCAAATTTTTGAAAGATATCATGGGATATAAGTCGAGCAGACGGATTTTTCCTGCTAGCAAATGATTCTCATTAAGATAGTGGATGATGCTTATACAACACGCCTATCATAGGACAGAGACTAATTACACAATTAATCTATACTATTGTTATATTCTTTGTAAACACAAGAATCGCTGAAGCTGATTGGAATATACAAGTACAATTATATTGTGACAACATAACTAGATTAATAAGAAAATACACAATATACGGGGACTGAAAATAAATATACAAAATACAGAATCTAATGAAATAATATCGCCAAAATGAGGGTATTCAGAATCTAATGAAATAATATTGCTAAAATGAGGGTATAAATTTCATTAAAGTAGATATAATTCATTGAATAATTAATGACACGATATAAGTGTTTTATGGGTGTCATAAGGTGGTAAAAAACTGTTCAAACATAGAAACAATGGCAAAATGTTTTGGTTGAGTGGATTGATAGATCAGTTTTAAATATCTGATCTTGCTGAATGCTGTATCAGTTCAATTATTGTCTGATATAATAGTAATCAAGTCATTTACTGCTACTTTAGTAAGTTTTAACGAGAACGTCAATTCAATCAACTAAGTCAACTTAAAGAGACAACATCGACATCGGCGAAATCGCAGAATATTATAAAATATCAAACTGTGAGACGTAAAGGAAATATTATGTAATAATATTCAATAGAAAAATCAAAAATTGGAAAAAGTACAAATACACATATTTTTAGAATGATCAATTAGATCAAAAGGTTTTGGATATTAGATTGATTGAAGATAAATGTGGAAAAGGTTCAGTGGATCAAATCCTAGAAATCTATATGTTATGGAAAACAACATTTCATAAAAGTACAAAGTCGGATAACGTAATTACACAATTGCAGATACGTTATATTGGAAACTTAAACGATTGTGGCCCATTCAGATCTGGCCTTAAAAATGTCACAATAAAGAACTCGAACATTTACTTGTTTATTATATAAAAATAGGAAAGAAAAAATATAAGAGATTTATGATAGATATATAACGAAGCAATCAAACTATATATCTATGAAAGGATTATAAAAATGATGAATATCCTGATATAATCAAACTATGTATCTATGAAAGGATGATAAAAATGATGAATATCCTGATACAGGACTGGATAACTGACAGATAATATCAAAGGAAAATAAAATGAGGATTATTACTTCAAGTTTTATTTTCACTATCATTTCTGAAGCTTTTAATTTCATAATGACAGGTCAGTAAATACTAACTTCTAAATAACTATAATACTAGCTGGTACGATTGTATAATTAATCAGAAAGTAGTTCAGTTTTGTTTGTCTAAATTAATAAAGACATATCATAGTGAATATAATTACCTAATATGAAGAAACAAAGATCTTGTGATTGACAGATGGCAAACATAGATCATGCATGCCATTTGAAGTATCCGAATAAATGCAAATTGTAGACTGTAAAATCTTTAAAAAATTCTCCAATTCTGTTCTAATAGATGTTAACTGACTCAGTTTATTTAGTATTGTCAATTTAATCTATCTTTGAAATTTTTGTGACAATTTAGTTTGTACCAAGTCAAAATATCACTGAGCAGGTCAAAATACCTATTGGACACTAAATTTATTACCTTCTAATCAATTTTCAATCTGTTTTTTTGTCCCCACTCAGATATTTCACCTGGTCCTTAACAGCTAAAAATATCATCCAACCATGTGTTAACTTCATGTATTTTCAGAATCGTATGGACCATACCACGTAACAACGAAAGTATTTCCTAACAAATATATTAACTTAAATGTAGAACCTTCACAGAATTACGGCACCCTAGTGCTAAGAGACACGACAACTACAAATGTGTATTTTCACTCCCCATGTCTCGTTGCCAAAAATAAAGGACGTTCCGTGACACTACAATTCACGAACACATCTGAGAACATCACAATGTATTTACAACACAACGATACTGAACTAGCTCAGACATACTTTTACGAGGATATTACATTCCAAAAAGCAGTTTACAAACTTGAGCCGACGCACGGCTACCAGGAGTTTGGCTATAATATAGGAGGTGGGAGTTTTGAACAAGTTGTGTATAACGTGACTGATGCTTCACAACCTCTCAATTATTTCCACAAGACAAGTGAAAATTTTATACACGAATATAATATCAAGGCATTCACGTTCCAAACAACAGGTAAGAGTGTTCCCCTATCCATCCTCTCCCCAAGAAATTATTTCACCCCCTCCCCATCCTCTCCCCCCAAAAACTTATTTCACCCTCCCTCAATCCTCTCTCCCCCAAAAATTATTTCACCCCCTCCCCATCCTCCCCACAAAAAATTATTTCACCCTCCCTCCATCCTCTCTCCCCAAAAAATTATTTCAACCCTCCCCATCCTCTCTCCCCAAAAAATTATTTCACCCTCCCTCCATCCTCTCCCCAAAAAATTATTTCACCCCCTCCCCATCCTCTCCCCCAAAATATTATTTCACCCTCACTCCATCCTCTCTCCCCAAAAAATTATTTCAACCCTCCCCATCCTCTCTCCCCAAAAAATTATTTCACCCCTCCCTCCATCCTCTCTCCCCAAAAAATTATTTCACCCCTCCCCATCCTCTCTCCCCAAAAAATGATTTCACAAACATTGTTTCACAGATTGATAATCTAATTTTCATCTAAAACATACTTTTTCCATAATTTAATTCTTTATTATTCTTCAACAATAAGGAGGTTGAGCTCCACATATTTAAAAAAAACTTGTACGTGAATCTGTAATATGACGCGCCTCGGGGATGGGGCGCATCATATTTTGCTCAATTGCTCTGTTTATGGAGGGAAAAACTGATCTCTAGATTCTAAATTTAACTTCCAGGTTCTCTTGAAAACATGTAGCTTAGATTCTAAATTTTTAAGTTCCAGGTTCTCTTGAAAACATGTAGCTTAACCTCCCTAATGACATTTCCTCACAGCCCCCAATTATGTCATATTCTCAATCATTCCTGTTGAGCTAGTCTATAGTTTCAACTTCTATGCATACAAAGTGATAGTTTCTTTACAGGCATACTTCATAGTGCAGTGGGCTCAAGTTACTTTTTACATAATATTTAATTATAAGCTCTGGTATTTTCATTAAAGGCCCCACCTGAAGTTTGAAAATATGTTTTCATTTACATATTTTTCATGACTTTAAAAGTTATCTTAGAGATTTTTGAAAAAACTTAATGTGTGAATTCTAAAATCAAGTTTTCAATAAATTCATGATTTTTTGAACAAAAAGTCAATCAGAAAACATTTTTTGAAATTATATCACATTTTGATAACTTTGGGTAAGGCTACAATATAAGCCAAAGTAGTTTAAACTTTATATGGGGCCTTTAAATAAGGTTTATGTCCCAGTCAATTGAGAATCTGTAAGTTACATATCAGTGCTAATGTTTTCCACCTTGAACTTTACATAGATTAAGTGACAAGACCTGAAAATCGTTTCTTTATATTACTTCAAATAAAAGTCTAATTGATTCCATAAAAGTACATTGATTGCAATCAATCTCCGACAGAGTTGCAAGCTTCCACAAGGTATTCCAGATCTTGGAAGTCATGCAGATGGAGGATGAAAAAGTCATCATTAATTTAAGTCCAAAACAGTAGAACCTTATACCTTTATTAAATAGTCAGATTTTCTAATATATAATAAACATTATATTTGATAACATTAGCCTTGAACCTTTGCTAAAAACTTAAGTTAATCAAGTTTTTCTAGTATCACTTATTCCTTTAAGTTCAAGAATATTGAATAAACTAATCATTTCTATACAAACAACATTACTTTCCACATACTTGTGTGTCAGGATCTAAGGCATTCTTGTATGCTGGATACCCATTTGCTTTTCAAAATTACATTTGATCTCTGTTCCTAAATTGATATATAGATCTTGATCACAGTAGATTCTTTGGGACAGTAATAAAAAGCGAACAAAAGACACACCAAGCGAACAAAAGACACACAAAGCGAACAAAAGACACACCTGGTTCAAATAGAAACCTACGTAAAACATAAACATCTTAACATGTATATTGAGAACCATTATATCAATATACAAACTGCTCCGGACCAGACAAACACACCCAGGGAGTCTATTCACGAAACCAAAAATGGTCCTTGACTAATTAGAAAAACACCATATTTTGCATAAATAGATAAAAAATAAATGCTTTCATTAAAGGGGATAAATAGATTCTGCATTATGTTATACAACCAAATCCACACCCTAGAGGTGTTAGAGGTCACTTTTGTCGACATAGATAAAGCAATTAAGCAGGGATAATGTGTCAAATTCAATATCCTGTAACATTCAAATTGGTTGGATGAAATTCAATACTATATACACATGGTATCATAGTAACTTACATATGTCTATTTGACATTACATCTGATACAAAAAACGATTTCCGAACTTCCTTGTTTGAATAGGAACAAATAGAGACTTTATTTTATTGCCAATAGCTATGAGGATATACATGTATAAGGCCTATAATCCCGATAGACTGATACAAAAAATCATATTGAACAAGGGACTTCCATTTTTAAAAAGTTTGGTTACAGCTTCATATATATATATATGTATATAAAACTCTATTCATATTCTGATTATGGTTTGGGATACAATTCCCTACATTGTTCATTTGCTTTAGAGTGTCATTGTTTTAGAGTTTTAAAGGTTATGTTTGAATTAAAATAAATCATAAATAAACAAAACAATAAATGTTAAAGTACTGAACAAAAAGTAAAATCGTTGCTTTGAAAATAACCCAGCATGTCCACAATCTACCTGCTAAAGTGTAAGTCGAAATAAATAAATAAATAAAATAAATACATACATAAATAAATAAATGTGCCTGTTATTCAGATCTTGGAACTAATCTGCTTTTGCATTTGTGATATTATCAAGCGCCAGTCATTCACCTGATTGCACAAAATACAACTACAACTAACCGTTAAAGAGTAATAACAAGAGTTTCATAAAGAAAATGGGTCAAAAGCATAAAAAGTAAGACGATAATAATTTCAAATTCACATAAATATCTTTTAGAGCATCATTGTTATAAATAGTGCTGGATTATATCTAATAAAAAAATTACTGTAGAAACAAATACATCATACTTTTTTTCATAAAAAAGACTCTGGGAGAAATATGCGAGGACTTGTATTAAATATAGGTGCAATTGATTTCTTTTTATTTTAGAGGAAATTGGATGATGTTTCAGAAGTTAATGTCAATACTATATTCTGAATTCTTGAATCTCAATAGAAACAAATTATGTAATTAATAAACTACCACTAAACGATTGCCGGAATAGTAATCCTTTAATTGACACCTAAGGCTATAGTAAATCGATTCTTTGTTTAGCATATTGTTATAAAGTATGAGCATTTAATGAATTCTAATTTTTCTCCTCTAGTATTTCATCATCTTCCAAAAACGCTTATACAGGCAATGTCCTTTGGAATAAACGGAAATTTCTGAGAAAAAGATAAGATTCATGATTACTGATTCACAAATGATGATTGAATACTTATCATGTTAATTAACAGAAAAACGCTGGCAGAGATGCGAAACAATTTTTTTATATATCCTAGCCTTAGGTGAAAATTTGTTTCACAAAGAGCCCCTTTCTATGAACAATGAACAACGAATTGCATTAATCCTTGCATTAAGAACACTCTTCAGTTCAAGCCCACGTAGAACAAAATTACCACAATATAGGAACTCATTTACATGGTGAAATGTTAGGTGAATACGTCTAATACATAAAATAAGGTCAAAAATAGGAAAGGAATAAATAAACCAATACAACCTTAGCAGGAATACCAAAATTGGCAAAGCAGTATACTTCATTTTCAAATATTGTTTTTTAAATCTGAAGATGGATATATTTATGCTAGTAATATAGATATATTATTGCTATTAAGATAGAAATATTATTGCTAGTAAGATAGATATATTATTGCAAGTACGATAGATATATTATTGCTTGTAAGATAGATATATTATTCCTAGTAAGATAGATATATTTTTGCTATATTATTGCTAGTAACAAAACAATAAGTTACATTTCAATATATATATATATCTACAGTAAGACCTGTCTTAGTGAACACCTCTCTCGAGTGAACACCTGTCTCTATTGGGCACCATTCCAACTCACATTCTCAACTTTTTCTGTATAAATTACCTTAATACCCTCTCTGTAATGAACACCAACTAACAATGAATTTTTTTTCTTGGAAAAAAATGTTCAATACGCAGGTTTAATGTGTATCTATATAAAGAAATATTTTCCCTAATTCAAGAGTGAATCTCCCTGACCATATAGATTGTTTTTTCTTTCACAAATTAGAAGTTTACCGATTGTATATGATCAAGTATTTGCAAGTACCTTTTCAATTTGTTGCCCTGAAATAAGTTCCCCTAAATTTCCCATGACCTTTTGCTAAATTCATATATTCACTGACAATCTTAGCTTTTCAGAAAATGTAAAATTCCATGGTCTTCTCTTGTCAAGGGAAAAAGTTTTCGTGACATTTCTTGATCATGGCAAACCTGACAAAAGTTGTGACTTCCACTGTCAATTATATATTTTTTATATTTTAGGTGATGCCAATACAGTGCTGAAATGTCCCCCAAAGACAACATTAGTCGGTGACTTGTGCTATGGTCTCGCATACCACTGTATCTCCTACACGGCAGCTTTGAACCATTGCAAACAGCAGGGGGCTCAGCTAGGAGTCATGAACCACCACATATTAAGAGAGCTAGATGCCTCAGAAAAGTAAGCCAATTAAGAAAATGGACTCACAACATTTCTCAAACAATTTGTTCATTTTGATCAACATGTTTAAATTTTGAAATGTGAACACCTGCTAATCCGAACACTTTTGGCCAGTAAAGGTGGCACTTGGATTAGAATGGTTTTACTATATGTCATTTCCCTATCTTTTTGCTTATGATAATACATATTTATTTCAAGTTTACAACATAATTTGTTTCCAGTGTTGGGTCATGGGAGACAAACAACAACATGGAATTCTGGGTAGGTGTTCAAATAAATGACACATCCTTGGAGCTGGCCAATGGCAGCACTATAACGGAGAGTAATCTAGCAGAGTTTCTGAATGTCACATCAACCCTTCCAGATAGCACAAGTGGGATGTGTTACACAATTACTTTAGAAAATATCATCGAGATTAGAGACTGCAACGAGAATAATTACTATTTCTGTCAGGCAGAAAAGGGTAAGGCGTTATTATGTCTTTAGAATCAGTTAATAAGCAGTGTGAATCTAGAACTAGCATCTGACGTCCATGGATTTCTATTCTACTTCAAGATAACGATCATCAAATATAGCAGCTATGATAAAATTTAAGACACTATAACGTTCTTTGTTCAGATTATTTTTACATTCTTTATTACACAATGAACTTATATTATCTTTTATATCCTTTTGTGAAAAGTGAGACAGGTATGAATTAATCCTTACAGTAGATGTGACATTACTTGTTAGTATACATGATTTAATTCTGTGTTAGTGTTACTAATTACTGTTTGACACCATCTGTGACAAGTATACATTTATAACTCTTACGTATGTTTTCAGGTTACTATGACGACATATCCTTTTTAAATATCACATATACATGGGGATCCCGTGGTCAATGCACAAAACATACAACAACTAGTGCACCAATTACAACAACTACTACTGAAACAATTACAACAATTGGTGAAACAATTTCAACAACTGGTGAAACAAATACAAAAACTACTGAATCAATTACAACAACTGGAGAAACAATTACAACAACTAGTGAAACAAATGCAACAACTAGTGAGACAAATGCAACAACACCAAATGCAGTATATTCAAGTTCATTCATTACTTTAATAACAACACCAACCACCTCAGAGACAACTGAAGACTTAACAACGATAGCTGATGATATAAATCAGACACTTGCACAAGCTAGTACAGCAACAACTAATGATAAAAGTACTTACTCGACAGATAGACAACTTTCTACAACAAATGATGATTTAACAACATTATCAACAACAATAAAACAGGAAATTATCACTCTCAAACAAAACGTTGTTGAAAAATATGTTCGAGCTAAGAAAATAGAATTTGAGCCTTCGGAATCACCCGTTGCCCCGGCGATAGGGATACCCCCTCTGGTTGTCATGTTGATAATCATTGGAGCAATAATTCTATCAGATAGCAGTAAGATCATAGGAGATTTAAAGAAAGGGTTATCTCATGTGTATGACTTTTGTCGGAGGCGGGTTGGTAAGCCAGATCACATTAAACAAAGTAACCCCAAACAAAGGGGCACCAAACGAAAAAATGTCAAACACAAAACTAAACGTTATAGCAAACAACGCAAAACTAAACATGATGCCAAACAAACTGTCAAGCAAGGTGATGTCAAAAAAGGTGATATACAACAAAGTGACACTTCTCAATATGACACTGTACAGGGTGATCTTATACAATATGATCTTACATAGATGACACTGTACAGGGTGATCTTATACAATATGATCTTACATAGATGACACTGTACAGAGTGATCTTATACAATATGATCTTACATATATGACACTGTACAGAGTGATCTTATACAATATGATCTTACATAGATGACACTGTACAGAGTGATCTTATACAATATGATCTTACATATATGACACTGTACAGAGTGATCTTATACAATATGATCTTACATAGATGACACTGTACAGGGTGTTCTTATACAATATGATCTTACATAGATGACACTGTACAGGGTGATCTTATACAATATGATCTTACATAGATGACACTGTACAGGGTGATCTTATACAATATGATCTTACATAGATGACACTGTACAGGTTGATCTTATACAATATGATCTTACATAGACTGATTTTAATTAATAAAATGTATGGTACCCATGATTTGAAAACGAGTGCAAACTGTGTGTGGAGACAAGCCATTTATTCATCATTAGCCTAAGCTCTTTTTGGGGAAAATAAGGACCCTTTTATTACCTCATGATAAAACCATAATGGGACACATCTTACATGTAACAGTAATTTGTATTGTGTTCCATAATTTCTCATAAACTCTCAGGCCATTTATATGTTATTAATAACAATTAATAATAAATTAATTGGTTTTAAGTGTGTTTTATGGGAGTTTATTATAACGCCGCAATTGTTAGGTTTAGAAGTAAACAAAACTGGTTGCTAGGTAGGAGAACAGAATGTAGGTCAGCAACGGTACCATTTTTCATCCATTTTTATTTGAGGCTGGAGGAAGAATTGATTTCTGAGTGAATCTTGTAAGTATTTGCCCGCCAACCCTCCCCCATGTACCACCCATGAATTATCCCCCAACTAAGGTGAGATCAAGAAAATGGTTTGATTAGTGATACATTTAATTAGTGATACATGAAGGTAAGCAACTAAATTAATCACTGTTATGTTGGTCTAATGTATTTTTATATTTTCAGAGATAATCTAGCTCATTAAAACAAAAACTAAAATATGTAACAGTAATGACTACTCCCTAAAAAACCCACATAGACTGAAAATACAAATAAAAGGAATTAGCAGAAAGAGTGAAAAATAAGGCATAATTTAATGCATTATATTCTATCACATTATAAGATCATAACCATAAATTCAAGTAAGGATAAAGTCATAAGATAACACCTGAAGTATTTATTGAGTTTTTTAAGATAGCTTCAGATAGTCTTTTGTGGTTACTATGTTAACTAGCTCCAATGGATATAAGAATTATGATATACTGACATCCCAATCTATGAAATGAAAACAATTACAATGGATAAATAAATAAAGAGATAAAAAGATGTTACATTACATATTACATTGCCTGTGTATCTTTAAATGAGTTGATCCCTATAGCCTGTATAATATTACCACTGGCAATAGGTCAGGTAATTTGTTAGTCATTCAATTGTGCTTCTCATATCCATGGCCTATAAGCTAAACCCAGCAGATTTTCATGGCACCACAAGACCGGACAAAGTTGCCAAGTTCAAATTCATTGGGAACCAATCAAATGACTTTGTGTAGATGATATGCCCACTTCGGTGTCATCTTGGGTTTCAACATGGGTTTCACCAGATGTTTGGTAATAAATAATTGAAACAATAATTGAATGCAGTGATCTCCCCAGCATTAAAGCAAGTGGGCGCAGCACTCATCTGAGATTTTGAAAATAGGCTTGCACAAACCTGAAAATCCATTTGCACCCACTTGAAAATGAGTAAAATCATGAAACATTTGCATATTTTGACCAATTTTGGTCTGAATTGAGAAAATGAGAATTTTGCACCCACTTGAGAAAAAATCCTGTGGAGATCACTGGAATGTTATGTATATCATGCCCTTACCTTCAGGCTCTTGGTCCTTCTCCTCATTTGTCTTCAGTACTTCAGCACCAGGGATATAATCTTTAGCATTCACTTCACCGTAATCTTTAGCCTGGAACTCCTTGCTAGCCTCCGTAGGCTTACCCTGTAATACAGTGTACAGTTGTTCAAGAGGTGTACAGTATGAAATTGTACACCCCTACAGGGGTATACAATGTACAATTGTTCATACCTCCTGGTAGAAAGTGTAAAATTGTTCACACCACCTACGCTTCAGAGGTATTCAAGCAGCAATGCTTAACCTCTATTAAAAGCATTTGGTCAAGGTATTCAACAACAGTTCATGTATTCCTATAGAGGTACATAATGCACAATCATTCATTCTTCAGATGTCATTGTATATTAAATTAAAACACTTTAGTTTATTATCAAAATGGCTTTAGAATGGTCCTGTAATGTATTCAGATTCACTTCGAAGAGTGAATTTCAGTGAAATAGTTGCAATGTAATTTACCACCAAACAATGTATATCACTTTGAAGAGTGAATTTCAGTGAAATAGTTGCAATGTTATTAACTACCCAACATAATCAAAACCTTTAATCAGATCTTGGCACTTAGTCTGCTCTTGTAAAATCTGTAAAATTATGAAGTCCAATGGATCAGTGGTTTTCCTGGACTGTATTTGTGTGGTGCTCAACCATAGAGATCTGTCTTCATCCCAACATTTAAGAAGTTTTCCAAGACAATATTTAAGTGGTGCCCAAATATACAGATGCATCCCCACATTTAGTTTACCAAGACAATATTTAAGTGGTGCCCAACCATACAGATGCATCCCCAAAGCATAAGACAACAACAATAAAGTACTTTAAAAAATGCAATTAAAATAGCATTTTACCTGATCTTTCTTGTGTAGTAGAGTTGGGTTTTTCTCTCTGAAGAGTTGTATGAGAGACCTTGCTGCCATATGTACACCTGATGGAGAAAGATATTGAGGTTATTTAATGGGAGGGATGGAATATGAATCTTATTCCGAGGGAGAATTTGATATTGGCCAAGGAAAATACAATATTGACCGAGAGTGATGAATAAAAATGTATATTCACTGCTCTTGAACTTGAGGGATAAATGATCTGGCATGTTATTGAATACCACAGCATTTTTGCTACCTTTACTTTAGCCATATTTCTATCAGCTTATAGAATCTTTGATGTTCATTTGGTAATATTACTGAACAGAAAAAATTACAAGCATTGTAATACATATTTTGTGAAAATTAAACAAAATTCGTCATATTTAGATCCAATTTAGTGAGGAATTCTGTGACCTAATTATGCCTGTCACAAGGAGTCAATATTAAAAAAAATCTGCCTGTTTGACTTACTTTTTTCCCTGTGACTTTTATATTGGGCAAGATCAACTTACTTTTTTCCCTGTGACTTTTATATTGGGCAAGATCTTGAAGCAGCTCTTCACTCATGGCTAGAGGGCATCTATTACATATTTCTCTAACTGCATTAATTCTAGAAACACAATAGATGGATATATTAATGTCAATGGTACAAGGAATATTACATTTGTTTGCATTTCTACGTTTACATTTTTTGATTGTTCGACTTAAAGTATTTTCATGTTATTTTTCATTCTAACTATGTGTAGAAATATGTACAAAATTCAATTCAGTTTTAGGCATACCATATTTCAAAAATACATGTATATTGCCCTCATTCAGTTTCCATACAAGACTTTCATGCTTTAAACCATCAGGCCGGTAGCCAGGATTTGCCAAGGGGGGTTCACTTTTTGAAAACTTCCAGGGGGGTTCACTTTTGACAAATTTGCCAAAAAATGCCCCAAATTACATAAAAATGTGCAGAATGGTGAAAAACTGCATGATTTTGAAATAAATTTTGGCCAGGGGAGCCAGGCGTGACCATCCACAACTCATTTAGCCCTAGGCTTACATCCTTTAGTGAGTACTCACCCTACTGCCATCACCTCCCCTGAGTTTCTCTCTGTGATAAAGTTATTTGCTATTGACATCACTACACCATTTATTATCTAAAAATAAAACATACAGGAGAATATCAATGGGGAAAACTTCTGTAAATGGAACACCTCTATAAGTGGAACACTTTATGTTTTGTTACCTATTACATTAGTGATTAGAGTGAAGGTTAAGTACAAAATGTACTTATACAAATATTTATGAGATCTAACTTATACAGTCCACAGAGGATGTAAACTTAAGATTAAAAGGTCTCCGTTCTACAGAATTTACCTCATATTTTATACATTGAAGAACTTTATCTTTCATAAGTCTTTTAGAATATAGATTAAATTTAAATAACCTATATGTGAGAGGAAGTGGTACATACCTCAGGAGGGACCAGTTCATGACTTGCCTGGGCAGAGTAGGTCAGAATACGGGTCACCTCTTAACAAACAAAAAATACATAATGATTACCAAATATTATTACTTTGTGGTGAAAGTCGTAGCTTGAAACTTGTTTTTGATAAAAATTACAAAATAGCACTTTTTCAAAGTGCGATAAAATACTATGCCACTATGACACACATAAAGGGGAAGGTATTCATAACTATGAAATGCATCATTTAATAAAATAAGACAAGTGTTGCAGATCTAATGTTAATATTATTACTCCCAATAGGATTGCAACTTTGCCAATATTAATGCATCACATTTCTCAATTACTCAATTATTTTGAACGGTATCACAAGGACAAAAAGGAGCATTATCCTTACCTCTCTGGTGGGGTTGTAGAAATCTCTGGAGGAAAGGGTAAAAGTTAAACAGGAACAACTGAAAAGAAATTGTGACATAATGTGAAAATAGTCAGACACTATAAATTAACAAGCAAAAAATAGAAGATTATACAATAATATGAGACAAATTAATGATATAAAATATAACGCCACAATCTTTAAGTTACTAATCAATAATACATGTACTTGTTTTTTTTCAGAACTATTTTCAAATATTTCATCCCCACTGCAATTTTATCTGTATTCCTACGTTACATCATATTTTTATCGTACATTTCTAAATTACCTCATATATTCGTAAATTACCTCATATATTCCTAAATTACCTCACATATTCTCACATTACCTCATGTATTCGTAAATTAACTCATATATTCCTAAATTACCTTATATATTTTCACATTACCTCATGTATTCCAACAAGCCTTGAGATTAGGTTGATCATCATAATCTTGACTTCAAATCTTTCATTAGTTGCTTCTAGCTGTTTCAACAGTCTCTCTGCGAAACCTGCAATACCATATAATAAACATTATTTGCATGTTCATGTGATGCTGGTGATAACCACTAAGATTTTCAACTTTGCCTAGACTCTGTCGTTTATCCAAAAATAGAAACGGCAACATCTGAAGAGCAAAACTGTATAAATTGTATGAAAACTGCCAAAAGCTATAAGCTATAAAGCACAATATCTTTTTTTCAGCTGGCACAATAAAATGCATTTGCTTGAATAGTAAATTCCATCATACATGTAGTTCAATTAAATTTTTGAGTAAAAAAGTAAGCCACGAGAATTCAAGGGAAATACATTCTAGTTTCTTCCAGGTGTACTTACTTTGAGGGTCGTGGATTAGATGAATAGCAGAGAAATTAAAAGATGGCGCCTTTTTCTTCTTTTTCTTTGTTTTCTAAAATAAGTCAACATCATGTCAAACACCAAGTCTGAGTAAATAATCAAAACTATTGTTTGAACCCATTATTTAAATAAAACATTGGTTAGATTTATAAAAACTATGAATCAAAAAACTTCAAAACATATTATTCATGTCATTTTTGTGTGAATTTCAGTAAAGGCTATTGTAATTATAATCGCGAAATATTAATTCATAATTTTGATAGATCATATTATCACCAAACAAAATTTGGAAAAATAAAACAAAAGAAATTCAGCATTTTTCAAGAGGCACATTTTACCTTATATCAAATGCATTGAATGCTTTAGCTTACACTGAGCAACACAATGGGAACTTAAGTGGTATACCTTTAACATTTGAAGAGCTCTCTCCATCTTCTTCTTTCTTTTATTTGATTTCTTGCCGACCCTGTGTCCCAACATGATCTCCTTGGAAGTCTTCTGAGGTTCATCCTAATATGCAGAGAAAATATTGTGATTGTATCTTGGTTACCGCCATATTTGGGGAGCAATACCTCATTGGTATCTGATTCCATATTTTACACTCCAAGACAGAGCCAGAAACCCCTCCTAGGAGGAGCCCTGTGTTCTTTTTTGTGCATGGGTCAAACATCCAGAATTACATAATGCACAAACAAACTTGTCTGAACCGGTAATCGAACCTGGGGCCAAGCGATATTGGTAACCTTGACTCTACCACTGAGCCAAAGCGGGTGGACTCAATATATTATACATTTTAACGTTTTGACTTAGTTCAATAGGATAAGATTTCACTAGATTGCCTGCTGAAATGAGGTTGTGTGTATTAGTATTATAACCACTGTTTATGCACATATGGCTAAGCAAGAACTGGTTGAAAATTTTATGCACTGAATGATATCTCATTTCACCTATTACTGGGTGGATAATATCAATTATGGCCAGACAATACGGCCCATGATCAAGTTGTCTTATATTTGGCCATGAAATAACAGAAGAATAATTGCATTCTAATTTCGCAAGAAAACCCTAAGAGCAGGCCCCGCAAGGTGGAATAATACAAACATGTAGTTAAGTACTCTCTTGTGTGTAACTACATTCACAATACTCCTTTCAAACAAGAGAATCAGTATTTGTTTAGTATGTGAAACCTACATCCTCATCATCACTGTCGTCTTCTTCCATGACATCACTTCCAAGGAAGAACTTTATTGCAGCTACCAAAATCTACAAATGAAGAGTACACGTGGGTTAGTTTATTTATTTATGTGAATGTTGCCTCAGTCCTTTGAGGACTGACACATGTTTTTATGAAAATGGTTATTTTATTGAAGATGGATGAGAAGTTGAATGGTAAGGTATTTGGGTTTTTGATGTAGGCCCATAGCCAGGGAGGGGGGTTAACCAAAAGTTCTTCACTTGGCAACATTGGAGACGCAAACCCTTTGTTGATAACTGGTGACATAAAGCATTACTTGTCTTGGAACCATAAAAGCTATACTAGGTAACCTTGAGAAATACAAGTGTTACATTGGTAACTCAGAAGATGTCGAACAAAGCTTACATTGGTAACTATGGAGACAACAAACTCACCTTGGTCACCTTGGAGAAGCAGGCAGTTGTGATGACATTGACTGTCTTGGCATCATGCCAGACTTCCCTTCTGTAGAGCTCTACCATGACATCCTGGAACATAAAAGTCAACTCTTAGCCTACCAAAAGTGTATTCCCTTTTGATTCAAATTGAGGTAAATACTGCACCGTGAGCAGTCATGTCTGAGCAATTGAGAGGTTCTTGAAACAATCCAGCCTTTCCTCTGTAAATTTATACTTTCTACAAATGCATGTACAGTTAAATTCCCACAAGAAATCATTCACAAATAGCCAGAAACTCAAAAAATTGTCTCTGCTCTATGGAAGCATGCATTAATGACCCATCACAATATATTCTAATTTGTTGATGGAAACTTCAACTACAAGTAAGAACCTTTGATTTGACATTAGATTTAAACATCTCAATGAAATTTCAATGCAAACGACCTACCAGTGATGTTTTAGCAGCAGTGGCATCATTATCTTGTAACATTGTGTACATGAAGTTCTGCAGTTGCTGGAAATAATCATAGGACAAGCAAACATGAGAGAGTATACAAAATAATTGCTTTTCCAATGGCTGTAAGGTCTATGGCATTTCAAAAATAAGAACAGTGTAAAAAAGCAAGATAAAATATTTCTCAGTCCTTAGTAAACACTGTTACAAGTAGTTTTTCGTAAAATAATTACATGGCAAGCCATGATAGAGTTCACAATTATTGCTTTTTCATAGATTTACTGTAGGTTTTCTACAATGCAAAATATTGACAAGAAAAATATGTTGAGATAAAGCAACGTTTTTGAGCAATACAAATATAACACAGTTCTTTCAAACATCAATTTGCCAAAATTTCTCAAAACAGGCCATTTGAATCATAAATATGAACTTTTTAAAAAAGGGTACCATTCATTGATTGAATGAACTTACTGTATTAAGCTTTGCATTTTTATGCTTAGCATTAGTATTTTTGATGTCTTGTATGATGTAGCTGTATAACGTCTTTCTCAATAGTTTGTCTTTACAGCGAAACAAACCGAAAAACTGCTCAAGAATAGTTGTTGCGGGAATCAGACCTTTGTTGCGTAAAAGCATCAGTGCTTTCACAAGATTCTGAAATACAGATGTGATATTGTAGCCTTATTCTCTGTAGGTTCAGCAAATGACAATTCAATTTTCAATTCAATTTTTATTCCTTAATAATATAATAAAATACAGTACATATAAAAGGTTTAACAGGTGACATCATTTCTGAAGTAGAGCCATCTGTGAAACAATAAAGTTACATGAAAAACAGAGACATCTATATTAAATTTGCTTCAACATTTCCATGTGATGCTTTCTGTTCACTGGCAAGTGTAATTTTGAAAAGCAGAAGATATTTACCTGACATCGGAATTTTACTTGAGAAAGATACAATAAAATAAAATGTCAGATTACTTTATGTTTTACATCCAACAAAAACAAGGACTGGCATGGAGAAATGCAGTCCAGTTGATTGGGATTTAGACAGTGGAAAAAATTACAGAATACATAGTTCTTCAAACCTGTAATTCGGACATTCTATTAGCAAAAGCAAATTTGACTTTTTACGATTTCTTGGATTATTTAAATTAAGGTATTACCATGCGTAACCCTGGATCAAGTACAGTAGAATGACGCTGTAACACCTCCCTTAACTGCTGGGGGAAATCTGCAAGTTCCTTAGCATAACAGTGTGACACCTATAATATTAAAAAAAATGTGTTCATTTGTCAAAAATAAAGTTATCATTCAAAAAGTTTTATGTTCTTATAATCCTATATTGCGACACTTATATAAATAACAACAGGTTGTGAATTACACTAAGTTCTTTTAAAACCTCTTGAATCCCAGGTTCTAAAATTTGGTTGAAACCAGGGAATTTTTCATTTTTGCCAGCCTTTGACATTTAACTACATGCATATACAACAGGTGATGCTCAATTTAGTGAAATTAGTCAACAGAGATCATTTCTACACATTTTAAAACATTTTTGGTGTAAATTGGATGAAAATAATCAAAATTAGAGTTCAGTGAAAAATGTTGTGACAGATTTTCTCGTCACTCTGGGTTTCAAAGTCGTTTCCAAGTTCATGAAAAATATTGTCACTCTTGGTAGTGATTAATTAATTAGAGGTTAATTTGTACTTATTAAAACTTAACATGTACATATCAAATTTATATCTTGATAAGATATTTCATTAATCAATTGAAACCTAATTTTTTTATCAAAAATAAAATTGTATTAAGTGATCATAAGTTGAGAAATTAGTACCAACTAAATACAGAATAAAACCTATAACAACCTTACCTGAGCAAGGAAAGTTACTAGTTCTGCCAATGTATGGGAATATTCTGTTGGCTTCAACATAAATATCTGCATATTTGACTGGTAATGTCGAAGCTGCTGCATGAACTAAAAATTGAAAGGGAATATGTATGTATGTATAAACACCAGTTGTTAGCTTTTTGTGATATCAATTAAAGAAAAAAACACTCAAGTATAGAGTATTTTTACATTGATGACACAACACTGAAACAAGTGAGCACACTGAGCATTGATTGAAAATTTGCAAGTGGGCTTGTGCGCATTTCAGGAATTCAATAACTAATACATAACAACGAAAGAATCATCAAATTTGTCAACTTAGAATACAATTATAAAGGCTATAAAAATCATGTCTGCTATCGTAATTTATTCTGGCCTTTAGCCACTCTTGTGTTTTATATTCCATGTCCCTGTTGTAAAAGTCTAAAGATGTAATTCAACAGTCATTCAATCAAGTTCACAGGACAACTGTTATTGCGCAAATCCCATGACTCTTCCCACATTTCTGAAAACTAAATACTAATGGCACAAAAACACAGGCTTATTGGTGATGCACCGCATTGTTTCTATTTAATAAAGGAAATAATTGAGGCATGTCTGTCTGTAATGTGTGGGAATCGATACATCTAAATAAATGGTGACGTATTGCGCAACCTAACCATTGCCTATAGAATTCAGTAAATGTATATCACATCTTAAGGAGAATGTATTGAAATAAAAAAGTTGTAAGTTGGATTGAACTATCTTCGTTTGAAGCACCCTATCTAAATTATGAATATTTTCTTGCTCAATTATCACCCACAAAAAATTTAAAGGTCATATCACCTCATCTTTGTATGATTCCGCATCTCGTTTTATCAGATTTTGCAGCTGTGGTAGGTTGTTGGGTAGCTTATTGCTCTGTCTGTCACTCATTTTTAATCCTGTCCTCTTATGTGATACTAAAAAAACTGAAAACAGCACGGTGAAAATATTTTTTACACGAGACCGGATGTTGTGAATTTTCTTATTTCGTCCAGTTCAGTGACGTCATCATCGATTTATTTTGAAAAAAATGAAAACTAATTTTCCCAAGAAAATGACCAAATGAAGAGCTTTCACACCTAAAATTATGGAACATAGTAATCAAATACACATAAGGCAACGTATTACATAAAACTGCATAAATAATGGCTGGAGATGAGGTTGCATTTTTGAAAGATCAAGGTGAGTTTTTGATTATTTTTGAAAAAAGGAAAAAAATGAAATTGTAAATTACCGGGAATAGGCCTAAAGTCTAACTTATGATGATAAGAATTTTTATAGGCTAGAAAGGTCATCATTTAAATGAACAATCAGTTCAATGTTCTCCAGGTCTTCTAGTCTTGAAACCTGTCGTCTAAGTTCAGCATCTCTCAATTGACCTTTTGCGATCAGAATTCAGGAATTTTGTCCAGGATACTGTCGTCATGTATCTCGTCTTATTGGTGTGATGTCATATAGAAATGATATTAGACATGATGGAATCACGAAATGGCGGACACGTGGCAATATTGTTGTTTCTTTTATGAAAACCATGGGTTGGATATTAACCAGGTATTCCGATTTGACTAGATCATGAGTATATCTATGTATGTGCGAAGTTTGGGTGAAATTCATACTAAACATCGATGCCTATAAGCACCCCCCGTTTTCTTTAAAATCACGGGGCTCTTAACCGCTATCTAGATCATGTTCGTAAGATCTAAGACTTGGTATAAATGTGTTTAGCATGAATGTTGATCTAGTCAAATCAAACGTTTTCGTAAAAAATAGATCAATAAAGCACGAAATATAGAAGATAGTCTCTCAAAATCAAACATCTAAATCTGATTGGCCTAATTGTGACGTCACTACATGATAGAATCCATTCGGTGATCGCAAATCATCAATTTGGTACCTATCTGACATCTCAGTTTTACGGGTACGGGTCATCATCTCAGGGCCTTATCTAATGCCAGGGCAATCCTGGCACTGGATAAATGGGGCTATCATCCTCTGCATTTGCCATCATCCTATTGATTTATTAAACCAAATCATCTATCCCATCAAGTTTGAAAATTACTGTATATATACTTATTAGTTTCCAGATTATAAATGTCCATTCACCACCCAGATGTCATCCATTGGTTGGTGCCTCATATCAGTGTACATGGATTTCTGTATGAGTCGGTGTAAAATGTGTATTGAAGTGGTGTTCTCAAAACACAAATGTTCACTATAGAGAGGTGTTCACTGAGACATGTTAAACTGTAATAACAATAACATGTCTCTGGTCTAGAGATCTGGGTTTTGGATGGTTTTTGATAATTCACAGTTTTTCTAGAAAGGCCATGGGTAATTTTCTATTAAGTCTAACCATTCAGGAGATTCACTAGTATTTCTCACAACAGGCTAAATAAATGGAAATCATAACTTTAACATTGAAAAAGTTTAAGCAGCAGGTGATTTTGTGAAAACATTCCGGCAAAAATCACCTATTGCCATCTGCTAATGGAAACCCTGACATTGCTTTGTTACAAACCATTGCAAAATAACAAATGAATTATTTTATCAATCAAAGACTATTTCTAAGATGGCTGCTGAATTTAAAATGCCATCTTTGATAACTCACATACCAGTAGACAGATTTAGTTCAAATTTTATATGGTGATGCCTGAAGGAATTTTCAGGAAGGCAATTGAATTCGAATGGCTGCTATTTTCCAGCCAGAAGAAATATTTTTAAGATAACTCAAATGCAGGTAACAATTATGTTTTCAACAGATTTCTTAGGCTAATACAGACATCATGCATGTTCATAGAATCTCTACTCAAGAAGCAATTTATAATATAAAATCAAGTCACATCATGGGTGTAGACTAGATTTTGGAATAACTAGAAATATTATTATATTCTAAGGCGTGATTATTCCTATCATGTTGGTTCAAAATGATGAGTGATTTGATTATAAATATGTTTTGTTAGTTGGGTGAGATCTGCAAGTCCGGGGAGTTACTGTTATTCAAGAAATAAATGTTGCGATTGTTGTAGTCTGAATTCTGGGATTTTATGAAAAATAATTCAGAGAAAAAAGTCTTACATTTCAATTTAATTAGGTTGGTTTCCCTCAAGTTCTTTTGGACCAATATGAATACATGTACATCAAAATGAACAAACAAACATTAATTCACTTCTGATATTTTCAGTTCAGCGCTTGAATACTTTGCTGTCAAAGTACCAGGAGAAATATGGGCTTATACCAGAGGTACGACGATATTTTTGAATAAATCCAAATTCTCAATACAATAACAGGGTTCGTACACACCTGGAAATGTCAGGGAAATTGATTTATTCTTCCAGATGCTGGAAATGTCAGGGAAATCTAAAATTGGGTCAAAAAGGGCCAAAAATGTCAGCGAATTTTGAAACAGTAGATATGTCAGGGAAATGTCAGGGAATTTTGTAGTGCTGAAAAAATAATGTTCCAGCAAAATGCATTTTAGGGCAATGACAAATCAATGAAATCCAAAATCTAACATTTAGTTCTTTCCACAAATTGGATATCTTTTCATCAGGGTTGATTGAATGACATTTTATTGGGTATTGTCTATTTTTAAGAACAGTGTGAACATTAAACTGAAACCGAATAATAAATATACGTCATTACTGGCATCATGGGCTCTATCAGGTGGTAGAGCCCATGCTGGCATGTATAGATGGTTCATATACAATTATGCTTTTCCATTTAGTAAGTTTGTCTTAGGTCATTTAAAGTTAATACTCCAATTCGCGATAAGAGTTCAGATGTTAATTTACAAATATCTCCCATGATGTATCACTTTGGAAGGGACAAATTTTCATTGGCCCGCCGAACAAGACGATTACTCTGAATGAAACGAAGATTGCAAAGTCAAAGGGCACGATCCGCTAATTTCATTGGTCGATGGTTACATCATAGCGTATGTATAGTATCAAAATGGCGGACAATTACTCAAATTTTCAACAAATTCTGATAAAACTAGGATAAATCTGACAAAATGACAGTTTCTCAGCTTCCGATCTTCCATCAGCCTTCAAGCATAATTATATGATCCAATTTATTCAATAATTAGAATGGGAGGTAACTAAACTAAACTTTATCGCGTATTGGAATATTACTGGACAGGTATATGTTTCATATTTTGTTGAGGGGTTAATCTGAGGAGGGTGGGAGGTAAAAAACAAAAAAGATTCCGGAAACTCTTTTCAGTGTAATACTGTATTTATATTGAGAAGCTGTCTGTTTGACAGTCCGGTCCTGCATCAGTCTATTCATCTCTCCACCTGTCAGGGCGATAACTCAGATATCAGTTGACAGATTTAATTCAAATTTAATATAACTATTCTATGCTCAAGACAACACTTTCTGTATTTTTTTGAAAGACTTTATGACCAGTTTTCCGTAATAATTATAATTTTTGATAACTCTAATAGTAGTTGTAAGATTTGATTCAGATTAATTGTACTGATGACCACAAGACTCTGTACAATAAGAAATTTTCAAAATGGTTGTTGCTACAGGTAACACAATTACCGATTATTTGATTTGGTGTCATATGCCTGTGCCTTATAGTGACGCTACTTGAGAAGGAATTTATAATATGGTATCATGTTTTGGTGTAGACTTTCCCAAAAGGGAGAAGTAATGCCAGGTTATTGCTTTACATATAATATTCACACAGATCAGTATTTGACAAAAAAGGTATGAATTGCCCCTCAAGGGAGTTGCTATTTTCTAGTATGATTTTTGATCATCATTTTTAATTTTCATTTGTGATTTTGATTCATTACAAAACATTCACGAATCATTGTTTGAAATGCTTAGAAAGCACCACATACAATGTAAATTTTAAAAAATTTCTGGGGGTGACCCCCCCCTTTGGTTTCACCATGGGCTCTGTCAGTAGAGCCCATGGTTTCACTTCACCTTTGGTAATGCTAACCCCTAGAAAATCAAAAAAATCCAAAATATTATGCAATATAAATATGTCAAATTAAAAATATAATGTATCAGGAATAAATGGGTGAATAAGACGGTTTGTAGAAGTAGTTTCGGTCATAAGAAATGGTACTAAAGGAAGGTTTCATATAAAAGGTCTTGACCTCTAAATGATACAGTTATTGAAACTTTTTCGGAGGCGATTCAAGCAAAACTAGATCTGGAAATTTACTTTTCTGCCTGGAAATGTCAGGGAAATGTCAGGGAATTTCCTTTTGAAAAAAGTGTACGAACCCTGAATAATGTCATACCTGAGATACCAGACAATATTTTGGAATAAATAAGATTCGCAACTACTTCATCTTAAAGGATTCTCACAAGAATGTTGAATGTTATTATGAAGCATGCATTTTTACATGATACATGAAATGATATTAATGTGATTATTGGTGAATCAATTACATTCTGGTTTTAAACACCTTCTTTCTACACATATTGTATATTGTATCTGATTACTATATACTGTTTTAGAGCCAGACAGAGCCTGGAGCCCCGCCTGCCCCTTGGTTAACAGAAAAAGGGTAGGTGCAGAAATTAATTAATTCTTGAAGATTAGGAACATGATCTCTCATAATGAATAACATAAACCACAACAATCTATTGTACAATGTGATTAATTTTAGAAACAGAAATAGATTTTTTCCTATTGTGTCAGAATTCTTGTGAAACAGCATTTAGCATATCTCCCTCTATATTCAAGGAGTTGACCCCATTGATTAACAATTTACATGGTATATGAATTTAAATGTCTCTCCTCTTGTTCTTAGGCAGTTGGCGCCATTAATTGCTGCTTATGATGCCCAAGTTCAGTTCCAGCTTCAACAGAATTCAAGCTACCAGGTACATGTATGTTTAAACTTTACACAGGGCCTTTAAAGGTCATGATCATACTTCAGAATGGCTAGAATGTAATTTGTAAAAATCATTGACTTGGGAACTTTCTGTAAAAATTGAAGAATCTTGTTCAGCGACTTTAGAATATGACATGTTTTCTAATAACCTAATGGACTTATTGGAATTGCTTGATCTTTTTCACAAGTGTTTTCTTGATATATAAAGAAAGATTTCATTCTTTTTGAATCAGATGCACTCTGAGGCAAAACAAAATGAAAAACAGGCAGAATTATTGAAAACTATTATTTAGTTGCAAAATTCCATAAAAACAGTTGCCTATTTTTAGAGAAAAAACACCTGATGCAAAATAAACTCCTCGTGTCATATGACATTCTCTAAAAATAATTTTCTCACCTTTAAAAATAGCATGTTTGTTTTAGGATGAGCTGAAAGAACTAAAGCAAGAAGTAACTAAGTTGATGAGTGAAAATAAAAGGTAGATATTGTTTTATTGATGCTATGTAAAATAGTAAAAATTATGTTAGTAAATGTTAAATTAGTAAATTAATAACCTATATTCTTTATTGTGTTCTCCCCATGATTTTGTTATCAAATAGGTGCAAAAATCTTATTCTCATATATAAGACCAAATTTGGTCAAAATCTACCAGTGATTTTTCACTTTTTGAAGTTGGTGCAAATGGATTCTCAGGTGGATGCAAGATCCACTTGCTTATTAATGCTTATTGATCACTGCTTTGATTTGCCAATTTTCCAAAAAAAATATACCTAACTACATTTAATGATCTGTTTTTTAGACTCAACAGAGAATTAAAGGAGACAGTGCAGAGTCAGCTAGAAGATATAAATCCAGAAGACCTACCCCCCAAATTCACAGATGACAAAATCTTTCGTAATTTACAAAATCAACTGGAAAATATCAAAGAGGTATGCCTGCAATCCGAGTTGAATATACAATATTTACCACATGTATTACGAAATGTGAATTTTTTATAGTCTTCAAATTATTATTTTAAAATCACCTACATAATTATTAACATAGTACATGTTTATTCAAAAATATACATCAAATATGTGTCATCATGGCTCTAATATTAAAAATCCTGTTGTATATCTTTAACCATATGACTCAATCTTTACACTATCACCCAATCTTGAAATAATGACTCAATCTTGACATGACACTGGCTGAATCCTGACACTATGATTCAATCTTGACACTGGCTCAATCTTGACACTTTATGACTCAATCTTGACACTATGCCTCAATCTTGACACTGGCTCAATCTTGACACTGGCTCAATCTTGACACTAGCTCAATCTTGACACTTTATGATTCAATCTTGACACATTATGACTCAATCTTGATACTATGACTCAATCTTGAAACTGGCTCAATCTTGACCATATTACTCAATCTTGGCACTATGACTCATTCTTGACACTGGCTCAATCTTGACACTTTATGATTCTATCTTGACACATTATGACTCAATCTTGACACATTATGACTCAATCTTGATACTATGACTCAATCTTGAAACTTGCTCAATCTTGACCATATTACACAATCTTGGCACTATGACTCATTCTTGACACTGGCTCAATCTTGGCACTATGACTCATTCTTGACACTGGCTCAATCTTGGCACTATGACTCAATCTTGACACTACTACTTTATGTTTGTATTGTAGGAAAAGACTGCCCTTGAGTTACAGTGTCAGATGACACAGGAAGAGCTGGATCAATGTAGGATGGAGTTGGCCTCTAGGGTACCCTACCCCTCTCAACCTGCTGAGGATACTACTAGAATACAAGAGGTGGGAGGCAATATAACTTTACATGCCTAAAATGTTGAGTTCATACCGAAAATTCAATATGGATAGCATTGTATGAAAATGTTAAAATTTAACTGTGGACATTTTTTAGAAACCTGTTTCTTGAATCAGATTAATGTGCTTAATATAATGTACAGATCCTAATTTTACTTTACCTTTCTCTCAAAGTTGTTATTTGTGCCTTTCACTTTTTGAGTGAAAACTTCATAATGTTCAATTATAATGTTCAATTTTGTTAATTCTTCTTTATTTTATCAATTTTATCAACATTTGAAATATGGCTTGTGTGGATTTACTGAATAATGTATCATACTTTATTTCAGCTGGTTTCAAACTACCAGAAAAGCTTCGCTGACTTTGATTCTGAGATTCAGCGATTAAGTAGCGCTTTAATGGCTGCTAAGGGAGATATTATTACAGCCAATCAGAAGCTGGTCGATACACAAGCAACTCTGGAGGAAACAAAGCAACGCCTGTCAATCAAGGTTAGAATATAATCCTTCCTTGATAGTTATGTTACATCTGACTGAAAAAAGCACCTCAATATTATATTGTGTAAACCGAGATAGACCTTATTAGTAAATCCTGGTAAGTATTAGTTAGGATGTTCTTACAGTTTCATGACAGAAATAAATTGTTGCTAATTTTCCAAATTGTAAAGTAAACAAACAAAGTATGAACACATAAATCTAGCTAATATACCCTAATTTCCTTGGTTAACCAAAAGGAGTTGGGGTTTATTTGAAAGGTCTATCCCAGCTAACAATTTTACGTTGTGATAACGTCGTCAGAATATATGTCTCAAGTTGTAGCAACGTTAAATATGGAACGTTGTAGGTACAGGAAGGTGTGGACTCGCACAGATGTTTAAAGAACGTTACATTTGACTTAAATATCACGTGTCAGGAACGTAGTAGCGACCTTAACAATTACGTCGCCAAAATAACGAAACTGTAACGTACTTACATTACGTCATATATACGTGGCCAATCTAAATTTCTGGTAACGTTGATATGGAACGTTGTAGGTACAGGAAGGTGTGGACTCGCATAGATGTTTAAAGAACGTTACATTTGACTTAAATATCACGTGTCAGGAACGTAGTAGCGACCTTAACAATTACGTCACCAAAATAACGAAAATGTAACGTACTTACATTACGTCATAAATACGTGGCCAATCTAAATTTCTGGTAACGTTGATATGGAACGTTGTAGGAACAGGAAGGTGTGGACTCGCACAGATGTTTAAAGAACGTTACATTTGACTTACATATCACGTGTCAGGAACGTAGTAGCGACCTTAACAATAACGTTGCCAAAATAACGAAACTGTAACGTACTTACATTACGTCATATATACGTGGCCAATCTAAATTTCTGGTAACGTTGATATGGAACGTTGTAGGTACAGGAAGGTGTGGACTCGCATAGATGTTTAAAAAACGTTACATTTGACTTAAATATCACGTGTCAGGAACGTAGTAGCGACCTTAACAATTACGTCACCAAAATAACGAAAATGTAACGTACTTACATTACGTCATAAATACGTGGCCAATCTAAATTTCTGGTAACGTTGATATGGAACGTTGTAGGTACAGGAAGGTGTGGACTCGCACAGATGTTTAAAGAACGTTACATTTGACTTAAATATCACGTGTCAGGAACGTAGTAGCGACCTTAACAATTACGTCACCAAAATAACGAAAATGTAACGTACTTACATTACGTCATAAATACGTGGCCAATCTAAATTTCTGGTAACGTTGATATGGAACGTTGTAGGTACAGGAAGGTGTGGACTCGCACAGATGTTTAAAAAACGTTTCATTTGACTTAAATATCACGTGTCAGGAACGTAGTAGCGACCTTAACAATTACGTCACCAAAATAACGAAAATGTAACGTACTTACATTACGTCATAAATACGTGGCCAATCTAAATTTCTGGTAACGTTGATATGGAACGTTGTAGGTACAGGAAGGTGTGGACTCGCACAGATGTTTAAAGAACGTTACATTTGACTTAAATATCGCGTGCCAGGAACGTAGAACCAACCTAAACGATGACTTCGCCAAAATAACGAAAATGTAACGTACTTACATTACGTCATAAATACGTGGCCAATCTAAATTTCTGGTAACGTTGATATGGAACGTTGTAGGTACAGGAAGGTGTGGACTCGCACAGATGTTTAAAGAACGTTACATTTGACTTAAATATCACGTGTCAGGAACGTAGTAGCGACCTTAACAATTACGTCGCCAAAATAACGAAACTGTAACGTACTTACATTACGTCATATATACGTGGCCAATCTAAATTTCTGGTAACGTTGATATGGAACGTTGTAGGTACAGGAAGGTGTGGACTCGCATAGATGTTTAAAGAACGTTACATTTGACTTAAATATCACGTGTCAGGAACGTAGTAGCGACCTTAACAATTACGTCACCAAAATAACGAAAATGTAACGTACTCACATTACGTCATATATACGTGGCCAATCTAAATTTCTGGTAACGTTGATATGGAACGTTGTAGGTACAGGAAGGTGTGGACTCGCACAGATGTTTAAAGAACGTTACATTTGACTTAAATATCACGTACCAGGAACGTGGAACCAACCTAAACGATGACTTCGCCAAAATAACGAAAATGTAACGTACTTACATGACGTCATAAATACGTGGCCAATCTAAATTTCTGATACGTTAATTATGGAACGTTGTAGGTACAGGAAGTTGTGGACTCGCACAGATGTTCAAAGAACGTTACATTTGACTTAAATATCACGTGCCAGGAACGTAGAACCAACCTAAACGATAACTTCGCAAAAATAACGAGACTGTAATGTGCTTATGCAACGTCACATATACGTGGCCAGTTTTAAGTTCTGGTACGTTAATTATGGAACGTTGTAGGTACAGGAAGGTGTGGACTCGCACAGATGTTTAAAGAACGTTACATTTGACTTAAATATTACGTGCCAGGAATGTAGAACCAACCTTAACAATGACTTCGCAAAAATAGTGAAACTGTAATGTGCTTATGCAACGTAACATATACCTGGCCAGTTTAAAGTTCTGGTAACGTTTGTCTTGGACCGATGTAGGCACAGGAAGGTCTGGACTCGCACAGATGTTTATACAACGTTACCTTTTACTTAAATATCATGTGCTAGGAATGTAGTAGCAACCTTAACAATGACTGCAAAAATAAAATAACAGACTGTAACGTGCTAATGCAACGTCACATATACGTGGCCAAGTTAAAGTTCTGGTAACATTAACTATAGAACGTTGTAGGCAAAGGAAAGTGTGGACACGCATAAATGAGTATACAAGTTACGTTCGACTTAGATATCACGAGCCAGGAATGTAGTACCAACCTTAACAACGACTTTGCCAAAATAAAGAGACTGTAACGTGCTTGTCACATACATGGCAAATTCATAACTTCTGGTTACATCAAGTTAGGACAACACATGCAAGGAATGTTCTAGTAACCTTAATTATGCCATCAACAAGATATAGTGATAGTAATGACTAACGTCCAGTTAAATGAATCATTACATGAACATAATTTAAAGTTCCTGTACAGGAAGATGTAGACACCGATGTTCAGTAAAATTATATATAACACACTAAGCCTAACATTTTCACATGTGAAGGTAAAACACAACTAACTTATGCTTTGACTTATTAACAAATGTATATTGTTTTTCCAATAATTAATGAGTTAATACACAAGAACTTTTTTGAGCATCCAAATAGAGAATATTGACACACAGAATTGAACTTAAATATAATTACAGTCTCGTATGTCATCTATCAAAAATCTATCCTATCGTTAATAAGTTTTATTGAGTATTTTATTAACCCCTAAACGGTTAAGGGGCAGGGGAGATTTGCCGTTCTGGCTTGTCTTAAAATTGAATTAGGCATATTTTAACTAATAAATCGTGACTATATTGTATTTACTGAGGGATATACACTGTATCAAAAATCGAGCATTTAATAACTGATTTATCCTATACTTAGTAGATTATGAGAATTAAATATGCATTGAAATTTCCCATTTTTCCCCAAATTTTTTTTCACATTTTTAAAAAAAAGATTTTCACATTTATGAGTTTGATAATCTCAGAAACTTAAAAACCACTTTAAAACACCAAGAAAATGTGTATCTTAAGTATATTTTTGAATTTTGGAACTTTATAAGGTATATGACGTACCAAGAACATCAGTAGGTATGAAATACATCTGTTATGTACGGTCGGTTTTGGATACAGGGTTTATCCCTCGGGAAATATGTGTATATCCCTTGGTCCCTGCGGTCCGTCGGGATATACACATATTTCCCTTGGGATAAAACCTGTATCCAAAACCTCCCAGTACATAACCCTTGTATATCTCCCGCTCAACTCAGATATCAATTATATTCCCGCATGTTATTTACCTATAACACTACTAAGTATGGGATTAACTTTGATGATATTTCGATATTTCATTTCCGAGATTGTGCCCAGATCTCGGCAGATCTATTCACCCCCTTTACTATGAATGTAATTATCTATATCAGAAACAAGTCAAATTCTTTACTTCAGAGAATATTTTTAATTTATTGAGACTTTCGACTAATATCCCTTAGTCTTTTTCAAAATATAACAGCATGTATACAATTTATGTGACGTCATAAACAGACAATGGAAAATTTAATGAAAAAGACTAAGGGATATTAGTCGAAAGTCTCAATAAATTAAAAATATTCTCTGAAGTAAAGAATTTGACTTGTTTCTGATATATTAACCAGAGAGATGAACTTACATAGAACTAATTATCTATAGCCTAACTGTTTAGGGGTTATATTGTTATTTTTCTGAACGGGAATGAATAAATATTCTAATTTGAGCTTGAACAAATGCTCTATTTGTTAACATGGTATTGATTTTCAAAAAGCAATAATGACCATTTTAAGTTGGGAATAAATCTAGAAAAATTGCATGTTTCAGATATGAAGCCATTATATCTATGCAATCTTAAAAGTACTGTCCCGTTACTTGTCATAGAGATAAAAATTTAATTCAAACTGGCTTGCTTCTCGGAACAGATATTGTTTATGCTAAGTGTTCATTTTTCCTTGAAAGCATGAGCTCTCATTGGTCCTCATCACTTTCCAAATGTTTTTTCAAATGACTTGTACAGCTCAGTCGTTGTTTCCCTGGTTGCATGTTTAACACATTGCCATTTCTGCTTGTTTTTGGACATTTTCCTGGAAAAAATCAATCTATTGAAAAGTATGAAATGTAACCTGTATACCCATACCCACTCTGTTTATTTTGCAGTGTCATTTTCAACCAAAATTGAGCTAGCGATCTATTCTTTACAATCTCAGATACAATATGTCTCAAAGGTCTACAATGTGTTGTAAATCAGTAAGTTATTGAGGATTAAAAGTGCGAAAATCGGGAAAATTTTTA